GAAGTATTTAGTCCAGTTTGCCAGTATAAAACAATTGCAAAAATTAAAAGAGCAAGATACATTCAGGCTGGCTAGAAAAAAATTATTATTTCAAATTATATTTGGAATATGGGCCGTCCTAGCAAATTGGTCTAGTTTGCTATGTGTTTGTCACCTTTCAATGATTTGATCTTTAAGTAAATTAGCTTGTAGGTACACCATGTAAGTGTTTATAATACTGCAAATATTTTTGTCTGTTAACCAGGCCTTCATTAGTGTAATAAAAGGAAGGCATGAAGTTAATTTGAAGGCCAGGGTTAACAGACCGAAAGCTTTGGACCATTAATTATATACTTTATCACGTTGTGTACCTATACCAGCTAATTTATATCACCATGAAAAAATATCATGATTTGATCTTTATTGCTATATAACAATAATAATTTTTGTGATTATAAAAATTATGATTGTTGCATCTTCATATATACAAGATGTGTTTTGTGTGCTAATAAAAAAAATTGTGATTATTTTGAAAGTTGTTGACTACTGAGTGAAATCTGTACTGTGTACTTTGACAAAATGAAAACTAAAAGTAGAGAAAATATGGATATATTGGACCCATAGGGGGTGTCCCGAATTCAGGATCCTGCCTATTCGCAGGTGGGATGATTGACAGGACCGGGGGGGTTGAAGAGAGCGAACACGTAACACGAGGAGAGACAAAACGAAAACGTTTACGAGAGAGTTTTGGTGGAATTTTGTATTTTATTTTTACTTTTTTCATATTAAATATTTTTTCTTAATTTATGTGAGTGTGTGCCGAAATACGGGTCGGTACATTTGGTGCCGTGACCAGGATAATTACGAAGGAAAACAACAACGAAGAGCGTATATTTTTGCGATATTTAGGTATCCATATTTGTTTATTGTATTATCACGAATTCAGCGATGCTATTGTGAGTAACTATAACGGAAATGATGGGAGACGAAAGCAACGAACAAGTCGAGGGTTTAGCAGACACCGAGCGTACGGAAACATCACCAGAAATTTGCGACATGATAATTTGCATTTGTACTAATTTGCATTTAACTTTCAGCATAATGGCCTTCAACTTTTACTATTAAATACATATAGTAAATATACAAAACCTAAAAATGCCGTTGCCCTAGACCTTGCCTACTGTTTGCCGACCTCTGGGTCAATAGAACAGCCGTTTCCCAACGTTTTAATGATCGAATTACTTTCCTTAGGTATTTCTACGTTCGGCCAACTGATTGTGAACAAATGTGTATACAGCCTTCGTATTGTTCAAGTTCCTGATAAGACTGATAATATTTTTTAAGGTGATTGCAGTGAAAATCCGAGCCGTACAAAAAAGTTTATACGCAAATACGAAAGACAATATCTTTAACAATTTTTTGGTATATTACACGTCAATTCATCAACTACCTGAATCGAGATATTCGAATCAATGCATGCATGTGAGCGATTTTATAAGTTCGTTGACAGAACACGGATAAAACTTTGAGCAATATATTTTTAAATTTGGCAGATTGCAGAAATGCCCAAGCTAAAAAATTTGGTCACCAAAACGTTTCTAAACCGCTGCTCTACCGATCTAGAGGTCGGCAAACAGTAGGCAAGGTCTAAGGCAAAGGCATTTTTAAGTTTTGTATATTTACTATATGTATTTTATAGTAAAAGTTGAAGGCCATTATGCTGAAAGTTAAATGCAAATTAGTATACATGCAAATTATCATGTCGCAAATTTGTGGTAATGCTTTGATACAAAAGGAAATTTCGAAGCTAAAATACTATTTGGAAGGGACCGACGAATTGATTCGAACGAATGACGTCGAGGAAATAAAAACAACGGTTAAACAAACATCTAAGATCACGAGCGAGCTTTCGGAGCTTATTTCACAGCTAGAAGAATTCAAGATCGACAGTGGTACTTCATCTAGAACTGTTCGTCAGTGGAAAAAGGATATAAAAGCGGATTATGCAGAATTATTGCTGGACAAGCAGAAACTTTCTGATTTTCTAGAGTCAAGAGAGCGACATATCCAAGAAGAATCTCAACGGCGAAAGTGGGAAGCTAGACAACAACTAGAGGAGGCAACAGTCACGGAGAGACAAGAACGTAAACGGAGATAATGGAGGAAAAAACTGCAAGCTGAGTTGGAAATTACTGAGAAGCGTATGGAGCTAGAAAGAGAAGCAAAGTCTACCAGTGAAAAATTGCCAAAATTGAAGATAACCCCTTTCAAGGGAACTACTGTAGACTGGATTCGTTTCGAGAACATCTTTCTGACCCAAATTGATAAGAAACCTATTTCAGACGAAGAGAAATTTGGGTATTTGCTTGAACTGGTGAACCCGAAAGTTAGAGACCGGTTGGCAAATCTTAAATCAAGTACCGAGGGATATGAAACAGCATGGAACAGGCTCAAAGCAGAATACGGACAGACCAAGCAAGTCGTAAATGCACATATGGAGGAAATCATTGAGTTACCCGTGGTCAAGGGTTCTAACTATGCGAAAATTCGAGAATTCTACGAAAGGTTGAGTACGAGTTTCGACGCCCTCCATACTTTGGGAGAGGATGAGCCTCTGAAAGCCTTTGTGATGACGACAACATTGAACAAGCTTCCACATATCAAACCAGACCTGGTACGAACTGACGACAAATGGGAGGACTGGAGCTTGAAGGATTTACTGGACAACTTACAGAAGTGGTTGCTTAGAAATAAAATGAGAAGCGATTCGAAGCATAGCGAAGAGTCATCAAGAAGGGAACGCAACTGGTTCGCTGGAAAGGGGAGTGGGGTGAAACCGAAGAGCCCCAAATGTGTTTTTTGCAATGGTGAGCACTACTCGGACAGTTGTGAAGATATTAAGGAGTGAGATAGTCGCCGGAAGTTCTTTACAAACAATAAACCAGGCGATCGACCAAATAACTGCCGCGGGGGGAGTTGTTTCAAGTGTAGAGGGAGACACCATACAAGTCTGTGTGATGGGAAGAACGCTCCCATCCTAACTGGTTATACCCCCTCAGATACCACATTACCACCCATAATTCCTGTAACCATACAAGGTGTGACTCTGTGGGCATATCTAGACACAGGGTCAGGGAGAAACTTTATTTCCCAAGATGCCATAGCAAAACTGAAATTAACCCCTGCACACCATGAAACCCGTCATATTGTCAATGTGAGTGGGTCGAAACGACAGTCCATGCCTGTTTTTGATGTTGACATGGCTTCACTTGATGGAGCCGCCAAAGAGAGAATTGAGATTACTGGAACAAAAATGCCTAACTTCACCACCATTAAGCGACAGGACATGAATAAATTAAAGCGGAAGTTTGAACATACCAACGACAAACGGTTTTACATGCAGCCGGATCACGAATACCCAATACATGTTATAATTGGAGATAACACATTCTCTCGAATGAAAACGGAGGAGATCTACAAAGGAAAACCAGGAGAGCCAGTGGTCGAAGGAACAACATTTGGTTGGATAATACATGGCGGGGACCTTGCTAATGATGATTGCATGTATTGCAGAGATGTGAGCGGCTACCAGATGTTGTATAGTCTTGATGTGCTAGGAGTGGAAGACCGGGGAGAGGATGATCAATTGGATGTTTACACCGAATTCAATGAGACCATTGTTGGAGACGAGGAAAGACGGTACCAAGTCAATGTTCCGTGGATACCTGGTACCCAACTGACAGAGACAAATGAGATACAGAGCAAGAAACGCCTGCGTTCGGTCACGAAGAAACTCAATCAAGACCCCAGCCTGAAAGCAGCATACCGGAATATCATAACCCAACAGCTTGAGAAAGGAATCGTCGACAGGGTCTCTGGGGAACCAACCGGAAGTCGTGTGTTTTATATGCCACATAAACCACTAGTGAAGTCTTCTGCTACAACCACAAAGGTCCGAATGGTGTTTGACGCCAGCGCGAAGCCGAACCCACTTGCTCGAAGTGTTAATGAGTGCATGTACAAGGGTCCTCCACTACAACCGTTGCTGTGGGACATACTGATAAGAGCCCGAATGGCTCCGAATTTGTTAAAAGAGCAATTCAGATTTACCAGAATACCCTTCGGTGCAGAAGCGAGCCCCTTCCTTCTCGGAGCCACCTTGCGACACCATTACGATAACGAACCACACGAGAAGCATACTGATACTCTGCTCACACTTCAGGAGAACACCTATGTGGATAACTTAATGAAGACTGGGGACAGTGTCGAAGAGTTGAAGGAATTTAAGCTCGAAGCTACAGCCATCATGGAGGAGGGAAGGTTTCCTGTACATAAGTGGGAGTCCAATGTTCATTCCCTAGAAAGTGCGGACATGCCCAATCCTGGGAAGATACTGGGTTTGACATGTCATAAGCAAGATGACGTATTAGAGGTCCAAGTTCCTGAACGAGATAATGGACAACGAATTACAAAGAAATCTATTTTGAGTCATTTGGCTGCATTTGGGAATTGCTAGTACCATTGGTTCTATTCGAGAGGAATGGTGGGTTCCAAGGTTGAGATCATTAGTAAAGAAAGCAATAAATGGTTGCCATACCTGTAAAGTTTTCTCAACAAAGCCATATGGCAAGACGGACACATCGTCTCTACCACAGTTTCGCACGGAAGCGAGTAAGCCCTTTCAAACCACGGGTGTTGATTTCGCCGGGCCGTTGGTTTACAAGGTCAACAAGAATAAAGAAGGCAAAGCATCTATTCTTATCTTCATCTGTTCAGTCACGCGTGCTGTTCATCTGGAAGTCACAAAGTCGCAGACCGCGGAAGAATTCCAAGACGAGTTAAACGCCTTCATATGTCGGAAGACGAGACCACAACACATCATTTCAGACAACGCAGCAGTTTTCAAAGCTACGGCCCAGTGGATAAGGAAGATCCGGAAAAGCGAAGCACTACAAGATTTTCTAGCGAAACAAAGAACAACCTGGCAGTTCAATTTAGCCAAATCCCCTTGGTGGGGAGGAATGTACGAAAGAATCATAAAGGAAGTGAAGAAGACGTTGTATAAGACACTAGGCAAGACTCATCTTACGTTTGAGCAATTAAGTGCAGTGGTAATGGACATCGAACGCCACCTAAATAATCGCCCACTCACCAACATCGAAAGTGACGGAGGGGAGCCGCAAGTACTGACACCCAATACCATTTTATGGGGCGACGATTCACATATTTTGGAAGATCGAGAACAAGACGAAAGTGACGTTACGAAGATGCACAGACGTCTCAACGTTGCCAGACAACACGCGTGGAACCGTTGGCACAAAGAATATATACACAGCCTTATGGAATCGCATCGAATAGTCAAAGGTGACGGACAACTGCCAATGCTCGGGGGGATTGTATTAGTACTCGGGAAAGAAAAGAACCGTGGGCTTTGGAAAAAAGGCAAAGTATTGCGACGCATATTAGGTAAAGACGGAGTTGTGCGAGGAGTTGTGCTTCGTCATAAAGGACACGAGATTGAGCGACCTATTCAATTAGTTTGCCCTCTGGAGATACGTAGCAGAGAAGTAGAAGAACCGAAAACACCAACGCCAGAAGTTGAGGAGAAACGAGAGAGACCACGAAGAGGCCACATTTAATTGCGGATGAGGACTGATTGGAGAAACTATTTGTACATTTAATTCATTGAGTTAAAATTAAGTTACACGTAATTTTAAGGGGAGTGTATCCCGAATTCAGGATCCTGCCTATTCGCAGGTGGGATGATTGACAGGACCGGGGGGGAGGAAGAGAGCGAACACGTAACACGAGGAGAGACAAAACGAAAACGTTTACGAGAGAGTTTAGGTGGAATTTTGTATTTTGTTTTTACTTTTTTCATATTAAATATATATATGTTATTTACCGGCTGCGAGGTCCGGATGCAAAAAAACTGTGCCGGAGGTCTCGAAAACGGCCCGAGGCCGTAGGCCGAGGGATGTTTTTGAGACCGAGGGCACAGTTTTTTGCATCCGGACCGAAGCTGCCGGTAAATAACGTGTTTATTTTTTAACCTTGACTTTTTTGACTTTATAAAACACAAAAAATACAACAAATTTAATGAATAAACTATAAAAATTTTAAATTCTGCAAGCCATTTTAGAATTTTAATACGTCAACAACTCCTTATAAGGATATCCTAGTCGGGAAACAGCCAATGAAATGGCAAATATTGTTACCATAGCAACTAAATCACGGCGAATCGATTAAAAAAACAACTTGTATTGACAAGCGAAAAAAAGCGTAAAAAATAAAAAAAAAGAAGTTTTTCGGGTATGTTTTTTATTATAACATTCATTTAGCCTTTTCCAGAAAGGTTTTCACACATTTTAGCCGTACGTTGCTTTGGTTTTGTCGTTTTGCTTGCATTTTTCACAGCGGGCCGGATGCATTTTGCAGCGGGCCGGATGCAAAATTCCGGCCCGCTGTGAAACGCTTCTCAGCCAATCAGATTGCTTCATTTACAGAGTTAAAAAATAATTATTCTTAATTTATGTGAGTGTGTGCCGAAATACGGGTCGGTACAGGGGGCCAGCTAACTAAAGCGAGAATTTGGGGGGGGGGGTAAATATTCATAAATCCAGTTCTACCCAATGGATTTCTATTGTGAGCTGGATATACGAATATTCACCCCGCCCCCCCAATTATCGTTGTAATTACGCCACTGATTGGACCTAATAAAACCTTAAATTAAGTAATTAAACCTTATATAATAATTCTAATTAGCAATGCTAAAATTATTACCACAGCATATTGTAACCACTGATCAAAAGATTAATATATTGGAAAACTCAGAAAATGTTTTCTATTTAAGAATTAGAAAATATTTTCCCTGTTTCTATACATTTACAGAAACACGGGAGTTTGGGAAAACGAGAAATAATCAGTGGGGCGAGTTTTTCCACTGGGATTTCGAGTTCTCCCAAACTCTCACAAGTGTTTCTATAACTGTATAGAAACACAAAAAAATATGTTTTCTACAATCATGGAAATAATATAGGTAGACTTCTCGTTGGACACGCTACATGACCACAGTAATTGTTAAAGATGTTGATTTAACGGTCAATAGCTGCTCCCCCCTTCCCCCTAACACAAAATGTTGATTGAAAAGACATCCCAATGTGATATCACGCACCTACCAACATTGTTCAAGGGGGAAGGGGGGTATTTTATTATGTAGTAGAGAAGTCTACGAATTAATTTCAATGATTGTATCTCTTTTATAATATAACTCGATAAAAATATATTGTAAACATATTATAATTCGATTCAATTACAAATTCTCATTACATTACTTCGCTTGTCAAGTTCGGCGGGAAAAGTCCCGTACAGTTATAGAAACACGCTTGTCGACCAATCAGCACGCGCGTACTATAAATGATATGGAAATATTTTTTATTAACCTTTGTAGCTTATTACAACGAACTAAAACAAAATTTCGCTTCAGGGTCGTTGAATATCGCCATATAGTCTTCTCGGTTTTTTGTTTTATGTGACGTCATAGATTAAAATGGCGGCAAACTCGAAATTGAGATATTTATCAGTCTCGTACCCAGGCGCTTTAATAGTAAAAAATGTTGCATACAGTTATTGTATAGAGGTGAGCTAAAAAAACGCAAACGCGCGGAGATAATACCTGAATGCAAGGTTATATATTTTACCATTAAAGTGCCTGGGTACGAGGCTTGGTATTTATCATGTTCGTTTGCGACAAGACTAGAAACATAGGGTGTGATACTATGGTGATTTCACACAACTGACAATTCATCATACCTACAGGAGAAAGTTTTATTATTGCGCAAGGGCAGTAATTGTGTTACTATTATCTGGTAATGTTCTTATTTACCCGCGTGTGTATCATATTCAAACTAAGCGACTTAAACACTAAAGCCTAAAATCAATGCAATGAACACATTAACGTATTTGACGCATCTCCTATAACGTGTAGCTTACGTGGATAGTTGATATCTTTGCAGCATAATTCATTCATGTGACCAGTGAGCTATACTTCCGGGAAACGCGATACTTAATCTCAGAAAATGCAATGCAATGTACAGGGTGAGTAAAAAAAAACTGACACCTTTGAAATTCAAATTAGCCACATAGCGGCTGTAATGCGACAGAAGTTGCCTAAAATATCTCATTGGTATACGAAGCATATCATATTAATTAACCTAAAACATAAAGTTTGTTCCCTTTGGGAGTTAAGATGCATTCTAAGCTCTGTAAATACAAAAGAACAGCTTTATCAAATCGTTTTTGTTGATTGTACATGGGAATTGTCATATTCCAGCCATAAGTTCGCAGCTAATTTGAATTTCAAAGGTGTCAGTTTTTTTTTACTCACCCTGTATAATAACATTCACGGATATTGTGCAACAATTTATTCTTGCTCTTGAAGTTATCATTGCAGTAAAAGCCAGTAAACGCGCGATAAACTACACTTCATTCAAATCTTATTGTTGATGCGTAAATCCGAACATGGCCGATGCAAATTTAATTTCAAAAATCGAGTCATACAGCTTTTTAAAACTGGGCGAGATCATGGAATACTGTTTGAGAATATCTACTGAAGACGTAAACACAATCGATGATGCTCGTGCGAAAGTGTATGAAAAAATTACTGAGTCTCAAAAAATGTCGGGTTGGACACTCGGAGAGGTAATCTTACATTGTTCAATGAATTTGATATAAATAAGTAAAATAATATTTGCACCGAACGTCTGTGTATATTAGCAGTGTTAGAATTCCCGGTAATTGCTAGTATAGTGTCGGTTAGTGAATGTTCTAAAGCTTGTGTAACTGTAAACTAATAAATGTAGAATGACTTGAAAAGAACTCTTCTGTCCTTCTCTTTCGCTTTTGTGGAGCGATTTTAAAGCAAATAACCCATATTGCCATAGTAAAGTAGCTAAAGTATGACTTGCCCACCGTAGGTGTAGAGTATTCTGTAGTCTATTCTGAAATTTGAAGTGAACAAAAGGTTCGTGACCACAGTAAAAGTATAGTAAAAGACTACAAGTAGAGTGAAAGAAAAGGTTCATGACTACAGTATGTTTGATTTTCTGCTATTACAAATAGTATTATACAAGATCAATGTCTCGTTCGTCACTCGAAATACTGAATCTCGCGTTGTGTCAATTAGTACGACGATAACGAGATCTTAAGAATGCGTAGGTTCTTTCGATAAAGTCACAGACGATCTACACCATAGTTTGAATATATATTGTTTATACAAAGAACGCACAAGCTCAAAGACAAGTGAATCCGAACTATATACAAGAATGTTATATCTAAAATATTCCCAATGTCCCCGTTACCCCTAGTGCGAGTGTAATTCAATCTTTTCGTAACTATAACCAATCATGTGCGATATAGTGTAATCATGTCAATATACTGTCAATTCATGACAATCAAAGTCGCGACCGCCCGACGGCTTTCCCTCAATGTGATTTTCATGCAGGGACGTAGTTCCTCGCATAACGTTAAACTTAGCGTTATGTCGCATCATTTGAGCAACGCGAAAGTTTGCCTCGACATGATAGATAACAAAATAGCCTTTGTTAGTATTACTAAAGTATGTATCAAGCATTTAATCTACTAATGAAATTTAATCTAGCGAAAGGACTGTCTACCCTTGCCATGGCATGCGCGGCTGCAAATGTCCAACCAGTACTTGTCATAGGCGTATACGAGCTGGGGGACTGGGGGCTGGCTGAAGCTCTCCATTTCCAGTGTGTACCATACATTTTTCGTGCAAAATATTCTGAATTTTTAGGCACAAACATGAGATTATGCTCGTTAATCTATATTCTATAGCCATTAGTTGTCATAATTAAGAAATTCTCTATATGCTAATGGATTAAAAGATAACTTTTTGACAGCTCCGCGAAACAAAAGCAACCGATAGTGAAATAAGTTAATTTTAGGATAATAGCGCATCCCCCGAATTGAGGGGTGCCCCGTACGCCTATGGTGCCGTAACGCTTTTATCAGTGCTTATACACGGCTTCATTTTTGGTAGTCTTAGAAGGTAGCTAATAATAGGGAGCTGTACCAACGACTACGAGTACAAGATTCATTCTCGCGCCTTGTTTGCTTGCGCCCTCAGCCAAAAATCGTAATCGTTGGGTATTCGATTACGAAATTTAGCAAAACACGTGTACTCGATTGCGAAATCTATGATTTCGGCGGCCGAGTGCGACTGTTTAGTTTTGGCTAATTTTGATCAAAATTTTAGTAAGTTTTAGTAATTAATCGAGAATAAGTGTAAAACAAAGATTCACTAGGACAGATAAAACATCATTGAAGGTTATTTACATCGCTAAAATACTATAGATTATCGAATTTGAACAAGTATGAACGGCATGTTTTATACGATATTAACCCAGTCCAAGGTTGACAATCTTGTCAAGAACTTGACTTTGACTTGTCAAGTTCTAGCAAGACCTTACACAAGATCCTGCCAAGATCTTTTCTAAGACCTTGTTAAATCATGCAAGATTTGTCAAGATTTTACCATGATCATTCATGCAGGTCGCAGGATCCTGCAAGCTGCAAGATCCTGGAAAATTTCTCCATGATCATGCAGAATATTGAA